TGACTGAAAGTCCAGCATCTTAGAACTTAAAACAATGACAGCCCCCAAAGGAAATGTTGTACCTTGTAAAGTGACAAGTTCCCCATCTATGAAAATTTCTAACAACAACTTGGATGACGGTCTATTAAGGTATGGTAGAAGGATCTATGCAACAACTGGACTGTGGACAATCTTGGTTTTTCTTTCAGCAATAGACTGTGATTTTTTTAAAAAAAATCTTCACCCAAGGATATTCTTCCATTGATTTTAGAGAGAGTAGAAGAGAGAGAAAGACAGAGAGAAACACTGATGTGAGAGAAACACATTGTTTGCCTCCTACATGAGCCCTGACCAGGGCCTGGGCCAGGGAGGAGGCTGCAACCGAGGTACGTGCCCGTAACTGGAATTGGACCTGGGACCCTTCCGTCCACAGGCCGAAACTCTATCTACTGAGCCAAACCGGCTAGAGCCAGTCTGCGATTTTGAAAAGGTTTGTAAAGAAGAGTGTAGGGTAGTTAAAGGCAGACTTGATCACCTTCCCAGTTTTGCTGTAGGTTGGCCTTGCCTGAGGCAGCCTTGCCCACTGGTCCACACTTCCAGTAATATCTGGACCAGACCCCTGAGAGCCACCCCGAGGGGGGACCAGGCCTCTTAAGGAATGAGGCATTTGTTCCATGGAGCCTTTGCCTTAGCTGGGTACTCATCATGCTGAGAGACATAACTCAGGTTCTCTAATTTAAACCTTATTGAGTTGAAGAAACAGATTTGAAAAGGGAACTAGAGCCAGGATTAGATCTAGGTCTGTCCAAAGCCAAAGTTCATTTACACTTGGTGCATGGTATGAATGTTTGTGTGCCCCCCAGCCCTGCCACAATTCATATGTTGAAATCCTAACCTCCAAAGATGATGGTATTAGGAGGCAGGAGTCTTTTAGAAGTACTTAGTTCTTGGGGGTGGCGGGTGGAGCCCTCATGAATAGGACCCTTATAAAACAGACCCCAGAGAGCTCCCTCACCCCTTCCATCATGCTCACATGACACAGAGAACTCAGCCTGCTATCAATCAGGGACTCTCATCAGAACATGACCTGCCTATGCTGGCTCCTTGATCTTAGATTTCAAGCTCCAGAACTATAAGAAATAAATGTCTGTTGTTTATAAGCCTCCAAATCTGTGGTATTTTGTTATAGAAGCCCAAGCAGACTAAAAACACTTGGCTATGCTGAACTGTCTCTGGACACTCCTTTCTTATAGTTTTCAAAAAGGTAAAAACCTCCCTCAGGGCATTGTCTTTAGACACACTCTGCATGAACTCTACTTCTCTGCAGTATCACTTCCTGAGCTCTATCATTTCCTAAGTGTGTCACTCTCAGAATCCATCCACTCAGATTTTCCCTCCTGATGATGCAAGCATACTGCTCCTGTTCTCTCCTGAACAGGCTGAATCCTTAGTACAGATGTCCACCCATCACCCGCAACAGACATGCCCATGTCCCATGCCCCTGTTCTCATACCTCCCAGTGGTGAGACCTAATTTGTAACCATCTTTAGATGTTCTGCCCTCCTGAAAGCTGCTCCTGAAGGTGATGCCGTCCCTCTGCCATCCTGGTCTCTCCCATCTTCTAGAGCAGCGGTTCTCAACCTGTGGGTCACGACCCCTTTGGCGGTCGAACGACCCTTTCACAGGGGTCGCCTAAGACCATCCTGCATATCAGATATTTACATTACGATTCATAACAGTAGCAACATTACAGTTATGAAGTAGCAACGAAAATAATTTTATGGTTGGGTCACAACATGAGGAACTGTATTTAAAGGGTCAGAAGGTTGAGAAACACTGCTTTAGTGGAACCATGCATAGGTGAAGGGGGCAGGAGGAACCTACATCTGAAGAACTGAGTACAGTCCTGGCTGGTGTGGCTTGGTTGGAGCACCGTCCCATACACCAAAATGTGGCAGTTTGAAGCCAATCAGGGTACATACCCAGGTTGTGGGCTTAATCCCTGGTCGGGGCACATACAGGAGGCAACCAATTGATATTGCTCTCTCTTTCTCCCCCTTCACCTCTTTAAAATCAGACCTGCAAATGTGGCTGGATGCCCAGGAACCTTCTTCCAGACCCTCAGACCCTCACAGGCACTCATCTGCCAAAGGAAAACTGGGCTGGGTCAGGTAAGGTAGCATCACCTTTTGGGAATGAGTGATAGTCAGAGTGGTGATTTTGTCACCTTTATTCAAGGTTCACTGTTGAACAGGTACCCAAAGACATTAAGATTCAACAATTATCGATTTTGTAATTAGAAGAGAGAAAACACATGCAGACAGGTTCAAAGTACCAAAGAAACAAAGCTCTTATTTAAGGAAGAGTTCCTGTCTCAACTCTTATAAATAAGGAAAGTGGACATCTATCTTCCTTCATGTTTCAGATCTTAGATATGCAAAAGGGATTTTGCAGATGTGTTTATATTAACGATCTTGATGGGGAGATTATCTTGGATTATCTAAGTGAGCCCAATATAATCATAATATTCCTTATAAGAGGGAGGCTAGAGGGTCAGAGTCAGAGAAGGTGATGTGATGACAGAGACTGGAGGGATGCACTTTGAAGATGGAGGAAAGGCCCTGGTGGGTTTGGCCCTGCGGACTGAAGGGTCCCAGGTTTGATTCCGGTCAAGGGCACATGCCGGGGTTGCGGGTTGGGTCCCCAGTGGGAGGTGTGCAGGAAGCGGCCAATCGATGATTCTCTCTCATCATTGATGTTTCTCTCTCTCTCTCCCTCCCTCTCCCTTCCTCTCTGGAATCAATTAAAAATATATTTTAAAAATGTTAAAAACAAACAAACAAATAAACAAAACAAAAAAGGTGGAGGAAAGGACCACAAACCAAGGAATACCAGCAGCCACTAGAAGCTGAAAAACACAAGGAAACAAGATTCACCTCTCAGAGCCCCCAGAAGAAACCAGGGCTACTTACACCTTGATTTCAGCTCAACAAAACTGATTTTGGACTTCTGATCTCTGGAACTCTGAGATGTTTGTGCTGTCTTAAGCCACTAAGTTTGTGGTCATCTGTTACAGCACCCATAAGAAATTAATACAGATATAAGTAAGATTAGGAAAGTTAAGAAACAACAGTGAAATTGGCATAGAAAAAGGAGGTGGGGAAGGTAGGAACAGAATGAGGAACCAAAGAGGCCCTGAACAGTGAGAGGCAGCAGACAGGAGTGAGGTATGGTCTAGGCCAGCGGTCACCAATCTTTTGGTCCTCACAGACCAATGGTCCACGGACCACCAGTTGGAGACCACTGCTCCAAAGGTTTCCTTAAACCAGCGGTCACAACCTTTTCGGACCTCACTGACCACCAGTGATCCACGGGCCACCAGTTGGCGACCGCTGGTCTAGGCCTAATAATGAAGATGAACTCTTCTAATATCTCATGTATTTGTTGGGAAGAGGACTGTGGATTAGTCTAAAGGGCCACCAAACATTATGACAAAGGCCACTAGGCTTCCATTAAGTCCACCTCTGCCCCAAAGATGAGAAGTTTCATCCACTGCATCCAACAGATTGTCACCAGGATCTGATTCAGACAGAAATGGGCCCCGAGGAGCCCCTGGCTCTTCAATTACTGACACCTATTTCTCTATTTCTCCTGGTGGCATATGGGCTAAGTCCAATAGCTAAAATGGTGGTAAAACAGGTTCTTGTCCTTAAAGATCTTTTATCCTGTATGATACAGTTCCCCAACCCTAGCACTATTGACATTTTGGGTCAGATAATTCTGTTGTGGGGGCCATCCTGTGCACTGTCGGATATTTAGCCGTACTCCTGGTCTCTACCCACTAGGGGCCAGGAGCTATCCTTCCTTCCCCAACAATGTTTCCAGACATTGCCAAATCTCCTGTTGGGGGCAAAATGTACTCCCAGCTTGAGCACCACTGGTGTGCAGAGTGGTGCAGGGAGTGACATGCCATTAAGTCTAAGTATGCCTAGAACTTGTCAGAGAAGGATTTGCAGAGCAGGCGACTCTTGTGAAGTGAGAGAGGATGGAAGAGGTGTGTGTGTTGCAGGCTCTAAAGGCAAAGGAAACTATGTGCAAATATCTGGAAGGCAGGAATGCAGGTGTGTGCACTTGACCCTCTGCTGTAGGAAGAATGTAATGGGGAGGGAGGTAATGACAGCACAAGCCGTAGTCCTGAGGTGACTGGCAGTGACTTTAGGATACTGATGCTTTAGGAAGAATGCTACGTACCAGTTTTCTGCTTGAGATAGTGCACCCATGTACCAAAAGTTTTCTCTCAACTGGGGGATCAGCTGGCTTGCCCCGGGTAACTAAAAATTGTATAATAATTGCATTTTAATTTCCATGAGATAATAAAGGAATGGGATTAGATAATCTCTCAGGCGTAGTTCCAGGACTTTAACATCTTATATAAGTATATTTTGTCATTTTCAGAAACTTTATTTTGGCTTAACTACATATATAATTAACCCATTTCAATAATTCTTAGTAAACATACTGAAATAATTCACTTTTAGAACATTTTCATTACCCCAATTATTCGGTTATTCCTAAAGCTACTGGCAAGTGAGAAAGGAGAGTCGTAAGGATTCCCTGTGACATCTGCTTAGCAGTCTACATCCACTACTTGCTCCTGGTTGTAGCTTTTCCCTATCCCTTGGACAGGATTGCAGCAGCTGTGTAGATTTTCTTTTCCTAAATCAAGGGTGCTTTGATATAAAAAGATCCCTCAATACGTGTGTGTGTGGTAAAAGTACTAATTACTGCCGAAACCGGTTTGGCTCAGTGGATAGAGCGTCGGCCTGCGGACTGAAGGGTCCCGGGTTTGATTCCGGTCGAGGGCCAATACGTGTGTGTGGTAAAAGTACTAATTACTTAGAAACCCTCTCCTCACACAAGTATGTTCATATTCTCCCTTCATGTGTCCTTTGTTATGAGCAGCCAGGAATTACAGAAAGAATACGAAGGTATTTATATTCCAATGAACTTTTGCCTTGAAATTCTTGTGTATCGCCCATCTTTATTAAAGAAGTGTGTGCATGATAAAGATTGCTTGGTATAACAGCAAATGTATAACTATATATAGAATATACCCTTGAGGATAAATAAAGCAGTGCAGAAAAGATATAACATGGGACAGGGACACCTGCAGGATCATCCTGATGCTCCTTCAGTAGTTATGCCCCACTCTCCAGCAGAGACCCCAGTTCCCTTTCAACCAATGCTCAGATCTGCCATTTCTTCACCCTGTCACCGTGCATGGTCATGTCCCCAACAGCTTCTTCTGGGATCCCTCACCAGTGAAATGTACACTGTCATTCTTCAGGGACCTCTTGCGTTCCTCGTAAGTCCCACAGACAGTCTTTATAATTTATATGCAAGTAAGGGGAAGGAGAAACATGAATACCTTCCTTCTGAACAGAAAGACCAAAGCTCTGCTTTCAGTCCCCATGGTGAAGTCTGTGATGCTGGTGAAGGTTTGAGCTCTGGCGAAAGCTTTTCCCACACTGGCCACACTGGTACGGCTTCTCTCCAGTGTGGATCCGCTGGTGCAGTTTCAGAGTTGATTGCCGCCCAAAGCAGTTGCCACACTCTCCGCAGGTATAGGGTCTCTCCCCTGTGTGGACTCGCTTGTGTCTTTTCAGCTCTGAATTCCATGTGAAGCTTTTCCCACAGTCATCGCATTTGTAAGGTTTCTTCACTGAGTGGGTCGTCTGGTGACTAAGACGTTGCAAACGACTGTTCAGGCTTCTTTTACTTCCTTTGCTTTTCTTCAGCTCTCTCAGTGGATGGTTTTTTAGGGGGCTGCTGATATATTCCAGTTCCCTGTAATGTCTCTGGAAGTGAGTGAATGGCTTTTGAGCATTTGGGGGGCTGACCTGCCTTCGTGACAACCGGGATTCACTCATATTTGCCCCTCTTGGATCAGGACTCTGCAAACGATTCCCTTTGGGTCTGCTGGGTGACACTGCACATGGCTTTGCTCCTTTAGCACCTTCCTGTTGTGGATTCTCCTTGTTCTCACTTTTCATTCTGGGGGCCTCTATAATTAGAAAGAATCTGTTTCATATTTGGGGCTTCAAAGAAAGAACCTCAGCAGAACAGTTATGAAATATACTGTAAGGTTTCTCAATCTGTGGTCCTCTACTGGCAACTTGTATTACACTCATCTGGGGCACTTACCAAACAAGCAGACTGCTGAGTCAGAATCTTTGGGGGGTGGTACCTGGAAATTTATGTTAAAGTTAGGAACCAAGTTTTCCAACCTCCTCCCTCCTTCCTAACTTTGGGAAAGGCTTAGGAAAGGAAAAATAGGGAAAAGCAAACCCAAAGGCCTGAGTATCAACTAAGGAATAAAAAGAAGAAAGAGAGTTGGAATGTCAACTTTGCAAATTCACTCTCTCTTCGTGGACATTGAATGACCACCACTTTCTCTTCAAATAATGGTAAAACCAATGAATGTGTAATTTCCTTTCCTTATAAAATTGACAGCATTTGTGTTTGGAACCTGGAATATGGGTTAGATATGCATCCTTTTTACAGAAACTACCCAACTTCTAACCAACAGGATTGAGAATCAGGATGGAAATTAGCTGGAATAGCCTGTGGGATAGTCAGAGGATCCAGAGCTGTGTTATCCCATAGAATTCCTGACATGTAGGCAACATGTGTGTGTGTACGTGTGTGCGAGTGCTATTCAATATAGCAGCCACTAGCCAAATGCAGCTACTGAGTACTTGAAATGTAACTACTGTGACTGAGAAACTGGATTTTACACTTTTAATTAATTTAAGTAAGCAGCCCATGCAATTATAATCAATTGCTCTTCAACAAGGTTGACAAGACAATTCAATGAGGGAAAGAATAGTCTTTTCAATAAATGGTGCTGGGACAACTGGATTTCCAGATGCAAAAGAAGGAAGTTAGATCCCCACCTCATAATATATACAAAAATTAACTTAAAATGGATCAAAGACCTAAATGTAGGAACTAAACCAATCTCTCTTTAAATAAAATATAGATATAAATCCTATGAATTAGGCAATGGTAATTTACATATGTGACCAAAAACACAAGCAGATGGTGCTGTGACAACTGGATTTCCAGATGCAAAAGAAGGAAGTTAGATCCCCACCTCATAATATATACAAAAATTAACTTAAAATGGATCAAAGACCTAAATGTAGGAACTAAACCAATCTCTCTTTAAATAAAATATAGATATAAATCCTATGAATTAGGCAATGGTAATTTACATATGTGACCAAAAACACAAGCAGATATAGAAAAAAAAAACAGATAATCTGGGCTTAATTAAAATAAAAAAACATTTGTGATTCAAAGAATACTATTAAGAAAGTAAAAAGATCCCTGGCCAGTATGCTTAGTGCTTAGAGCATCAGCCCAAGCACTGAAGAATCACAGGTTCAACTCTCAGTCAAGGGCACGAACCTGTGTTGTAGGTTCCATCCCCAGCCCTGGTCAGGGCTTGAGTGCAGATAATCTGGACTTAATTAAAATAAAAAAACATTTGTGATTCAAAGAATACTATTAAGAAAGTAAAAAGATCCCTGGCCAGTATGCTTAGTGCTTAGAGCGTCAGCCCAAGCACTGAAGAATCACAGGTTCAACTCTCAGTCAAGGGCACGAACCTGTGTTGTAGGTTCCATCCCCAGCCCTGGTCAGGGCTTGAGTGGGAGGCAACCGATCAAATGTGTTTCTCAATGTTTCTCTCTCTCTCTCTCTCTCTCTCTCTCTCTCTCTCTCTGTCTTTTCCTCCCCTTCCATTCTCTCTAAAAATCAATGGAGAAAATGATCCTCAGGTGAGGATTAACAACAAAAACTAAGAAAGTAAAAAGACAACCCACAGAATAGGAAAAACACTTGCAAACTCTATATAAGGATCTAGTATCCAGAATATGTAAAGAACTCCTTCAACAATAAAAAGACTAACTCAATTTAAAAATGAGCAAAGGGTCTGAACAGACATGTCTCCAAAGAATATATAAGTGGACAGATGCGCAACTATTTGACAATGCAGTGCACAATAACACATGGACAGATGCTCAACATCATTAGTTACTAGGGCAATACTTCAAAACATCCACGAGATACCACTTCCCACCTAATAGGATGGTTGTAATAAAAAAGACAACAGTAACAAATGTTAGCAAGGATGTAAAGAAAGTGGAATCCCCATAGACTGTTGGTGGGAATGTAAAATTGCACAGCCTCTTTAGAAAACAGTCTGGTGTTTCCTCCAAAAGTTAAACATAGTTACCATATCACCCAGTAATTCCACTCCATACCCAAGAGCAATGAAAACATGTCCACTTGTACACAAATATTCACAGTAGCATTATTCATAATACCCCAAAGTGAAAACCCAAATGTCCATCAACTGATAAACAAAATGTCCATTAATATAATATCATTTAGCCTTAAAAGGAATAAAGTACTGATACATGCTACAATATGGATTAACCTTGAAAATATGTTAAGTGAAAAAAGCCAATCTTAAAAGAGCACATTTTACATGATGCTGGACAATGAAATGTCCAGAAGAGGCAAATCAAGAGACAGAAAGTAGACAGTGGTTGTCAGGGATTAGAGAGGGAGGGGTGGAGAGTGACTGCTAACAGGTATGGGTTTCTTTTTTGAAGTTATGAAAATATTCAGAAATTAGTGGTGATGGTTGCACAACTGTGTAATTATACTAAAAACCACTGTAATTATACTAAAATTCACACTTTAAAAGGGTGAATTTTATAGTATGTGAATTATATCTCAATAAATAACATCTACACAGTTGCACGTGGCTAGTGGCAACTATATTGCACAGTGCAGCTCTGAAGGAAGACACTGTTGGATCTTAGGGATGAGAAGCATGAGAATCTACAAATGCAGGAAGATACTGTACACACAGCCAGCTGCCTTTGCTGAGCCGGGGGAAGGGAGTGTGTGTGGTCCACTTTATTCAGGTCCACAAAAGCCATAGATTATGGGGCAGGACCTCAGCCAGGGTCACACTGATTTTCTATTGGATACCCCAGTTCTTCTCCATTCTTGAATTCTGAGAATAATCAAATCAAAGTGTTTCACTGACTGTAGCAAATCTGAAGGGATCAAGGCTCCAGTTTTCTTGTAACTCTCTAACTTGCTGACTGTATCCTATATTTACTTCACCAAGACTGGCCAAAGGTCACTGTCATTCAGTTTTAGCAGTCACAGGGCTGTGCGGAGTAGGGCTGAGAGTTATACTGGCATTGTACCAGAGACAGGTAAGGAAGTGGACACAAAAGTTTAAAGCACAGAAAATGTCATAGGAGAAGGAGGCAGAAAATAATATGAAGTGGGCTTTTTCTCTAATGAAAAGAACATTGTGTAGGCCCCTTCTAAATATTAGTATAGGACCATTTTAAGTGATGAAACTCAGCTTGCATGGAAGTTCATCAGTGGTCATATTTGGATCTGTCTGCATTATATAGGAAGCTCTAAAAGGGACAGAAAAGCACTAGAACAGTCCTGTTGTGTACTGCATTGTCAAATAGTCATTAACAGAAAATAAAAACATAGTTCTTATGTGTAGTATCACTGCCATTCTTTTTTTTTAAAATATATATTTTTGTTGATTTCAGAGAGGAAGGGAGAGGGAGAGATAGAAACATCAAAGATGAGAGAGAATCACTGATCAGCTGCCTCCTGCATGCCCCACACTGGGGATCAAGCCTGTAACCTGGGCATGTGCCCTGACTGAAAATCGAACTGTGACCTCCTGGTTCATAGGTTGATGCTCAACCACTGAGCAACACCGGCTGGGCATATCACTACCATTCTAATCAGTGAAATTTTTTTCAGGCATAAAGATCTACTATTACATACAACATTTTAAAAAAACATCATCATCTCGTCTATGGCTTTTCAGAACCATGAATGCTTTGATGGAGATGAAGAATGATGAAAGGGAGAGAGGAGGCACAGAGCATTTACCTGTCCCAGCCAATTTGGTGGCTGGCTCCAGAAGGAGTGGGAATTTTTCCCACTGATGGGGGCTAAACTGGTCCTGAAGTCCTGCCTGGAAAGGCTCCTCCAAACAGTTCTCCCTAGGATATCTCCTAGGAGTTTGCAGTTGAAAGTCTGGCAGTTCCTGTTCTCCAAGCTGAGATCCAGTTCTTTCCAAGAGCACTTTCTGCCCCTGCATACAAACAGCCACCTAGGAACAAGCCCCATGCATTAGAGTGCAGCCAGAGGACTGACTCAGGCAGCTTGACCTCTCACTGCTCTGTAAGGACCCCTGGCCCTGGGAATTCCTGATAATGGACTGGAGGTCAACTTTGATAGAGATCGCTGAAACTCTCAAAGAAAACACAGGGAAGGACATGGGGAATGACCAGAATGAGGCTGCTTCAAATCAGCCAATACTTCTTGAGTGGAGAATCCTAAAGCTTGGGCCTTGCTCAAGGCCTGGAATCAAAGTCATTAAAGAGCAGGTGCAGACAACAGGGTCAGTCATGATTCCCACCCTATGCCCACCTGCCTCCCTACTACTCCTGAAAACAGGCTCTGTAGAATTGGGAAGCAGTGTAGTAAGGGCCATTAAAAACCATCTTTACCTAATAAATTGTTCTGCTCAAGGCTCTAAGAGGACTGCCCCACTCCTGTTCCCTAACTGCTTCCATTCCCCAAAGCACATGATTGTTTGCTTCCTGCTGAGGATCCAGCTTTGGTCTGACTTTGAGGGTGAGGGTTGAAAGGGATACTAGCCAACTGAGCTGTGACTTCCTGATCCAAAGGCAATATGCAAGACACTTGACTGGAACAAGGTTCAATGAAGTTCCTCATAAATCAAATTCCTACCCAACAGGATTACGCTATCTGCTAAGAATCCTGATGGCAGGAAACCTTCAAAAGGAACGGAGGGGAGATCTGTCAGCAAAGACTCAATAACCTTACTTGATCCTCCACTTTGTCATGGAAGCGCCCATGGGTGGGTTTTCTGAAAACCTGGTACATCTGGGGGTAGGGGAAATGTTCCCAAAATAGAGGCCAGAAAACATGTTTGAAACCATCTGGTCCATTTCTGGGCTCTGATTAGGGAGGGCCCAGAAACCAAACACTTTTCTTCCAGATGGGGAAGAAAAAAGAAAAATCCTAGGGACCATCAGAGAAGACCCTCCTTACCCACTGCTTTGGTCTCTTGGCTGCTCTGTGAAAATCTTCCACCAGAGTCACCATCTCCTTGCTGCTCATTGGACATCGATGCCTGACCCGAGCCTGGATCTCGGGGGGCAGGATGTTCAGGAACTGCTCCAGCACCAGCAGCTCGAGAATCTGCTCTTTGGTGTGCAGCTCGGGCTGCAGCCACTGCCGGCAGAGCTGCCGGAGCCGGGAGAGTGCCTCTTGGGGTCCAGACACCTCTTGATAACAAAACCGTCTAAAGCTCTGGCGGGAGGCCTCAGGGTTGGCGCAGTCCTTTTGCAGAGCCGCCCCCCGCTTCTCTTCTAGCTTTGCTATGATGTGTCTCTCTTGCTTGGAAGAAGCCTGAATGTGGGACTGAGAGCTCAGCGTTATCTCCATCTTAGCTGCCATTTTGAGGCTCAGGAGACAGCTTTTTTTTTCTCCTCGCAAACAGCTCAAGCCTGAGGGATCATAGCCCTGGAGAAGTCGTTCTAAACGCTAGAAACGAAGTTTTCCTGAAGGTGTTGAGGACAGGATGCAGACAGGCCCTTCTCATTCACTGGCCTTGACTCCAAACTCCTGAAGGCAACACAGTCCCTGGGAGTGGAGGGCGTCTGTCTTTCCGATCGTTTCTAGAACTATCTTGTGAAGGAGAAAAGTCATAAAATCCTCGGAGGAAACTGTGGGGGAAATACTGCTTTTATTTCACCGATGAGCGCACGAAGTCTCAGAAGAAACGCGCAGCATGACCTAGGAAAAGTTCAAGCTGTCAGACACCGGCACCGGCTGTCCCGAATTCTGGTTAGGAGACCTCCAGCAGCTCACCCGGCGCCACGGGGTGATCCCAGGAGGCCGCGTGCGCCGGGGGCGGGAGTCAGCGAAGGCCTCCTACTTGCGAGCAGAGGCGTCGGAGACCCGGGGGTGGCTCGTTCCAGAGGCTCCGAAGGCCCAGCCGCTCCGAAAAAGCCCGGCTGGGGCTGGGCGCCCCA